CAGACAAGAATGGACACGAATTCCACGAGTCTGTCGCCAGCTGCCACCTGCACGTCGTCAACACATACTACGGGAGCAGCGACGATTACACATACCACAAGGACGGGATCTCCAACCGCATCGACTACGTCGCCATGGCTCCCTGCCTGTTCAAGTGCGTCGCGGCTTGCACTGTCTTGAGAGACTTTCAAAAGCCAACCGCCAAAAAGAAGAACGAGCACAACAAGCAGAGGAGGAACTACGCCCAGAACGGCTACGACACGACCACAGACCACATGCCCGTGCTAGTTGAAGTTGTGGGCGAAATCATCGGGCGCCACCGAAGTTCGAAGGGGAACGGGCTACTGGATACTAACAAACTCAAGAACCCAGAGCGCATCACAGCATTCAAGCAGGACCTGAACAACATCAGCTTACCACCGTGGAAGGCAGACGTCAACGACCATTACCACGAGACAGCGGGACTCTTGTCGAGAAGACGAAGCAGCATTTCGGACGGGACCCGCTTACCCCTTGCAACGTCACAATCTCAGAGGCCAGCATGCGCCTATTGAGGCTGCGCAGATACGCTGAGAGCTCCACGCGGACCTACACGAACAACGGGGACCCAGCACCTCTAGAAGTTTTCCGCAAGAGGCTCTGCCACGAGGCGCCTGTCTATGCCCGTGTGGAAGATAGCTGGTATTGCTCTGTGGCAGCCCTTGCTGGAGCGTGCCAGCTCAGCCACACCGCCGACTGCCTCGGCATCGCGCATGACGCTGCGAGGCTCTTCATCGCCCACACCAAGGACAGGTTCAGACACCAGCTGAGTACCGACCGCAACCAGTACTTTCACGAGCTTGGCAGCAAATTGGCGGATCGCAGAACAGCAGGAGACGCCAGGACCGACTGGCAGCTGACAAAGAAGATTCTGATCCATGGCGGCCGCAAACCAAAATATGTTAGCGCGCTGCCCACTACGCAGCAGCCCGACGGCACCGTCATGGGCAGCCAGGGCGAGATCAGCCGCGCCACCCTGCAGCACTTCGCCAAGATCGAGTCAGCCGACATCAGGGACAGGTACGACCTTGCGGACCGCTACAATGTCAGCCGTACCCACAGATCGCCACCCGACGAGGTTTCACAGCACCTGCACATGACACTCAACGATCTGGTGGAGAGCTTTGCGGACGGCAAGAAGGGCCGAGCAGGAGGACCCGACGGCAATTTGGACGACATCCTCAAACTCGCACCCGAGGAGACGGCCCGCCACTGGTACCCAGTCGTCTTGAAGACGATACTGCGAGGCCGAGAACCGATCCAATTTAAAGCAGGTGTTGCAGTGAAGCTGTACAAGGGTAGCGGCACGAGGGCCCTCCTGGAATATTACAGGTCGATCCTCCTCAACAACACCGTGGCCAAGCACTACCACAAGTGGCTCCGCGCAACTACGTTGAGGGTCTGCGGCAGCCTGCTGAGTCACCCAGCATGGCGGAATCCCGAAGAAGTCAGGCGCGTACTCCACCCATACGATCAAAGCGTTCTTCAGGATCTGCAGGCGGAGACGTCTCAGCGCAGTCGGCGTCCTGTTGGATCTACGACAGGCCTTTTATTCGGTTATTCGAGAATTTGTGCTGGGACGGGAAGGGGAGAAGCCTTGGCCCCTAAAGGTGATGGCAGGAGGCGCCCCACCCGAATGGCTCATGCCGGCCATCCAGCAGCTGATCGCGTCACCAGGCTACTTAGCACTCAACGATGTAGACGAGAACCTGCGATTCCAGCTAGAAGAAGCACACGACACGACATTCTTCCAAGTGCGGGGAGAGGAGCTTTGCGCGGAGAGCCGCAAGGGCACACGCCCAGGCAACGGCCTGGCCGACCTCATCTTCAACATCAGCTTCGCGCACGCCCTGGGCCCGCTGGAGCAGAAGCTACATTCAGGAGGGTACTTACTACGACTACCACCGGCGGGCGAACAAGCCATTGCCACGTCAGGCCAGCTCCAAGGGCTGGAGGGGACCCTGCCAGAAGTATCCTTCATGGACGACGCGACATTCCTGTGCGTACTTAACGACAACACGAAAATCGAGAGCAGCATCTTCGACATATTGTCCATCATTGCAAGGAGACTCAAGATCTTTGGGCATGACCTACACCCCAAGAAGACCAAAGCGTTGCTGCATATTGATGGGCACGCCAAACAGCATATCAAGGCGAAGATTTTCAAGACAAATCCCATCACGCTGCTGCGCGAGGATGGTCAGCCGCCAACCAGCACTGAAGTTACAACGGCGGAGGTCACGACCCAGGGACTCACATTGGGCAATATTGCGACAAGTGATGGCGGGGAGGGGCCGAACCTTATGAGACGCATCATAGACCACAGATCCGCAGAGGGCCCCTTGAAGAAGTCCATCTTCCGCCTGCCACACATCGACCTCAAGGCCAAGCTGTTGTATCTCACGGCACTGGCGCAAAGCAAGCTGACCTACGACTGCGAAGTATGGGGACCACTTACAGTACAGCAGAAGCAGATGCTGCAGAGCAGACACATGGCGAGCCCGCGGGCCGCCGCAAGACAACAGCGACACAGCGCGGGACATGTACATACCTTGGATGACGAAATATACTTGATGTGTGACGAAGTACCGATCCATATGTACCTGCGCCGACGGCGCCTGATGTACTTGGCCAGAATGGCGCATGCAGACGCGCCCTTCCTCCACCGCCTCATCGACGAACTTTGGGAGGATGAGAAGGCCTGGAATGCTCCTATCGTCGAAGATCTGGACTGGATAAGAAGTTTCCTACTAGACGACGAGGACATTGGCAGCGACATCAGGGGCTTGATACGATGGCTACGCACACAGCATGCGCGAGCCGCACAAGCCACGATCACCCGTGCGTGGCTCAGGTACAAAGCATGGCAGCACGACATATACCGTCATCGAGTATGGCAAAGGCAGCTACACCGTCTAGCGCAAGAGTTTGGAATGACCACGCCCAACTTCGAGGGGCTGCCGCCTGCACAGCACTGTGGCAACATATGCTATGAGTGTGGCAAGATATTAAAAACTCGGGGAGCATGGAAGCGCCATCGCACCATGGAACACATCGGCTACGACCTTCCCGAATTGCTTGCCCGTTCGACTACCTGCCCTGGGTGCGGGAAGAACTTCATAACGAGATCGCGCATACTCAAGCACCTGAGAAGGTGCCCCAAATGCCTGGCGGTCCTCCAAGCAATCGAAGTCCCAATGGATTTGCAGGAGGGAGCCGAACGCCGAGAAGAAGAACGAGAAGCTGTGGCGGCGAGGAAGGCAATGGGGCATGGAGCTACAAAGGCGCTGGTGCCCGCCCAACAGGTCATACAGCTCAAGCTGGCCGACTACATAGAGCAGCATCAGCTCCAACTCTCGCCGGCCCCGCCTGCAGCAGCGGACGTCCAAACAGCGACACCACCTGCAAACGTATTCTCACCGTGCAGGCCCATGATTACTACGGCTATGTTCTTGCTGCACCTTTTCTCGGGCAGACGTCGAATCGAGGATTTCCAGTGCCATTTCGCGATGAACATTCGGGAATGTAACTTGGTAGTACTATCGATCGACGTGCAGATAGACCCCGACAAAGGAGACCTGACGAAGCCAGACGTCGTCGAGTTTTGGTGCGCAGCGATACGACAGGGCAAAATATTTGGTATTGTGGCGGGCCCGCCCTGCGAGACGTGGTGCTCATCGCGCTGGCATGCCGCCGAGGGGAATGCACCACGACCACTACGTACACATGAATCCCCCTGGGGCATACAAGCAGCTAGTCAAGCGGAGCATCAACAGATCGCACTAGCCAACGAGCTATACAGGACAGCTTTACTACTCATCACCACGGGCCTGCAGTACAACGTTTCAGCCGTACTCGAGCATCCCGCCCCAGCCACCTGGTGCCCTCAAGCGCCTAGCAGCTGGCAGCGAGCAGAGACACTCTGGCTCCTGGAGCAGACGGGCGTCGAACTTCACTACATAGACCAGTGCCAGTTTGGGCAGGCTGCGAGAAAACCAACATGTCTGATGGCGGCACACCTCGGTGAACTCGCACAGGAGCTAAGGGCGGTACCTGGGGGACAGCTATGCCGACATACGGGACATGCCAGAGCTTACGGACGAGACGGCCAAGGCGGCTGGAGGACCGCCCCCCTCAAAGAGTATCCATCAAGGCTGTGCAAGGCAATGGCTACCGCTTTCGCAGCCCACTGGGGGCAGCTTGCTGACGAAGAGGCAATGTGGGCCGAAACGGATGAATGCTACCACAGGTTCTACGCCCCCTTGGATTACTACATTGAGCCAGAGCAGCTCGGCCATGACTGTCACAGGGCATGGGGCAACCATCGGCGCTAGCAGCTGGCACTGCAGCGGCACTACATTATTTGGTGCAGTTAGTCGAGTCAAGCGTTCTGTATTATATACTTCAGCCCCTGAAGGGAACATTGGTCTGCAGTTTGGCGCAGGCCACCGGCCTGCTACAGATTTGAGGGCAGCTGGCATTACAATATTGTATACAGAGTATTTCAGATTGGCAGCAGACGTGTCAGCATCAGCGCACCTACTGCATGGCCCAATACCCCGTTGCTACTGGGTTACTGGCACGGCTGCGACCTGGACAACGATTGCGTGCCACACTCGAGGGGGGGGGGACCCGTAGCGCCCATACGGGTGGGCACGATCCCTCAATGGCGACGGAGCGTGCCCCCCCCTCGAGCACTTTCTGGATTTAGCGACTTTCCGAACATTGGCATTTATTTCTATGATTAGCTTGCGCCCTGGACAAGGCATTACGGTGTGCTGCTTAAGTCCTGAGGAAGCCCCGAATGCGTGGGAAGACCTCAGGCAGCGTCGCCAAGTTTTGCTATGGTTAGAACGCAAGTCCTGGGGAAGCCCCGAATGCGAGGGAACACCCCAGGCACAAGTCGCCACGTTTTGTTGTGTACCCCGGCGGCGACTGGATATCTACAATTTGGATGGCGCCAGCTGGCTGGCAGCGGGCGGCCCATTGGCCGCCAGCGTACCACCGACCGACATCGACAGCATACCCAGCACGACCCCACACAACTCCTGCCAAGTCAACGCTGTCCTGGTGAGGATCAAACTTCGAGACGGGCTCGAAGGGCTGGGGGGGAAGGACGAGTACTTCCCGCGCCCGCCAGCGGGGATGGTGAGGGGCAGGGGGGGGGGTAGGACGGCCACTACCTGCGCCCCCGCGGTCCGCCCTAGCTCGCCACCCCCACCATTCCCATGGAGAAGGAGGAGCTACCCGATCGCCCGAGGGCGAAGCTGGACAGCCGAGACACCCCACTCCGACGATAACAAGTACCAGGCCTGGGGTTCGCCCCCACCGAGGGCACTGTGACCCCTAGCCATAGCGGGACGAGGTGGGACAGTAAGGACCCCCACTTGAAGTCGGTGCATGGAGGCCTTGGGAGCCCACAACCAACACAACACCAGCAACGAACCGACCCCCAACGACCGTCCAACTCGCTCCACATCTTGCACTCAGCCCCCATACATCGACATCTACAACATCCGTGATCAGCACCCCCCTGCACCTCAAAAGCAGGGGGGTCATGACTGACGACGGCAGCACCGCAGCTCTACATGGAGCCCTACAAGCGCAAGCTCTACATGGAGCAGCTCTGCAACGTCAGGCAGCACTGGAAGTATACAGCGTCAGTCACCATGGAGAATTACAAGCCATGGAGTACTCGACCAGAAGGGGCAGCCTGCCCCGCGGTGAGGGAGACACAGCGCCTGGCGCCGAAGGGTGTCTCCCCACCGCCCTCGCGTGGCAGGCGAGGAGATTGCTGCAGAGCCGCCGGAGTCCAAGAGAGGCTCGGCGGGCCTCCACAGCGCTAAGCGCCGAAGGGTGGGGGCCGCCGCAGAGAAGGCGGCCATCCATCTGATGATCTGGCGGCTGGGCTCAGCGCGAGGCGCCGAAGGGAGCCCAGCCGCCACACAAGAGGCCGACCGCCCACAAAGAGGCCGAAGGCCTGGCTGCGCGCCGAGCTGGCTGAGCTGGCACGGGCGAGCGCGGCGCCCGCTGAGGGCCCAGACGGGCCCTCATCTTTTTAGTTTTGCTGAAACCCGGCCCCCCTTCTCCCTTCTCTGTGATTATTTGGTCCCTGGCTCCCTGCTTTCCTCGGGGTCGGGTTCCCGGGGCCGCTGTCTGAGTGCCCGCACGGCCCTGGAGGGCCGCTGCAGAGCGCTCCGCGCCCGCGGGGCGCGCGACAAGACGCTGCATAGCGAGAAACGTAGAAACGTAGAAACGTAGGAGGAGGAGGAGGAGGAGGAGGAGGAGGAGGAGGAGGAGGAGGAGGAGAGGGAGGAGGAGAGGGTTTTGGAGCCCGCGCCGATCACCACGCTCAGTGCACTGTGTGGCTTCGCGCGCGTGCCTGGTGCTCTCGGGATGGTCTGGGCGTCCCGGCGCCGGCCTCGCCGAGAACACCACTGCACGCGTCCGAGCGAGGCCAAGGTGCTGGCTCCGGCGTTGGATGCTGACACCGCGGGGATCGTTCCACCTTGATGAAGGGCCCTGCGACACACAAGTGAATAGACACTTCCCATATTTTCCTATATTTTCTTGGGAATCGACGATTAATTGTGTCTGTGTGCTTTTTCCCCTCCTGACTTGAACGATCGGCCCTTTTCGAAACGCCAGATCGCTCAACATCCACCGATCCTGGGTAGCCGGCGGCGTGCTACCTTGAACGCCGGCAGCGGGGTCACCGCCGGTCGACTCGACGGGAACCTGCCGTACCCAAACATATCCGATGTCTTAATTGTTTCAATACGGGCCCCTCGGAATTCCAACTCCTCTCCCCAGGGACAGCTCTTCATCCCGAGAGGTTTTTTGCGAATGGAAGCCGAAAGCAGCCACAAGCCTCCCTCTGCGGCACCTCTCGGGGGCCTCCCCATACCGCCTTGTTGGCACTTTGCGATCAGACGCCACTCGACGCCAGGTCGACGCGAAACCTGAGCGCGCCATCGACTACCAGGCGCTTGTTCGGGGAGGCGAACGAGTGCCAATGTCACGCCGCCGCGGGGGGGCCCAGGGTCCCATCGGCGTGTTACTGTCGATGTGCGTTGTCTGGGCGAGCAACGAGGGAATAACACGCCGATGGGGCCCTGCGGGCCTCCGCGGCGGCGTGACATTGATACTCGTTGGCACGCTACATCGGCAACCAGGGCGCGTACTCGCGACCTTACGTGGACAGCTTACGCGCCAATGTCGGCGCAGACGACCCCGTTGTTATACGTCGCTCGTGTGCTCTCCTCCTCCTCCTCCTCCTCCTCCTCCTCCTCCTCCTCCTCCTCCTCCTCCTCCTCCACTCCTCCCCTCCTCCCTCCTCCTTCTTCTTCTCCTCCTCCTCCTCCTCCTCCTCCTCCTCTTCTCCTCCTTCTCCTCTCCTCTTCCTCCCTCCTCCTCCTGCTCCTCCTCCTCCTCCTCCTCCTCCTCCCCCTACTTGTTGCTGCCTCGAAGCGCCCCGTCCGCGCGGCCGCCTCGCAGCGCCGCGGGCACCGCCACCACCACGCCGCGGGCGCCGGCGCGGCCGCGGGTGCCGCGGCACCGGCGGCCCTCGGCCAGTTTCGCTCGAGGGGGCTCGCCACCGCTCGGACGACTATCACCACGTGCATGCTTCAATCTCGTGCGTCTGCTGTATCGCAAGATGATCCAAGATCCTCGATTGGAAAAAAAACGCCGCCATAAACATAAACCGTTGGGCGCTCCGAACGGAATTCTAGGATCTGCGCTGGGCTCCGCTCCCTGGCGCGCGGAGCGCGCCAGGGGCGGCGCCAGAGGCGCTGCCAGGGCGCCTCAGCGCGGATGAAAGAAAGCCGCGCGGAGCGCCAAAAGATAATGTTTACGGCGTTTTTTGTTCTTCGATCGCTGGTCCTCGCCGAAGAAGAACTGCACACGTCCGAGCGCTTCGCACAGCAGGCTTTCTGCCCTGCCCTCGCTGCAAGGGCGCCTGACTTCTGCTGCTGTCGCTCCACCCACGCCGACTGCCTCGAGGTGTCCCCCAGCGGCCCGAGGCTCGCGGGGGTGACGCACATTCTAGACCTCCTAGATGGGGTCGGAGTACATGGGGTCGGAGGATCGCGCCGCATCGCCGATGCGGCGACGATGCAGCTCGATGTGGATGGAGCCCGTGTTTCCCAACGCCGACGTCGCCGATGAATCGCCGACGTCGCCGATACGTTGCGGGTGCATCCCCGATGCGTTGCCGATGCATCGCCGATGCATCGCCGATGAATCGCCGATGCAGCGCGATCCTGCGACCCCATCTAGGAGGCCTCGAGCATTTCCATGGAAATCTAGATTGGCCTCTTTTTATGTGTATTCACCTCAATAGGGCTTCTACTGCCCCGGGTCAATCCAAACCCCGGTGAGTCAGGCTTTGCAGGATCCTGCCGGATCCTGCCGGATCCTGCACCCAACCCTGGGTCAATGCACCCCTGGCTCTGCAGGATCCTGCAAGATCCGGCGCCCTGGCTGCCCCCCGCTCACAAACAGAAACTATGACGCATACCCTCCTGTCGTGATTTTGTCAGCGCGCCAGGGGGTCTGGGCATGGTCTGGGCACTCACTGATCAGGGATCTGCTGACCCGGGCCAATCCAGACCCGGGTCAATCAGGCCTTGCAAAATCCTGCAAGATCCTGCACCCAAACCCGGGTCAATGCGGAGGATCCTGCAAGATCCTGGAAGCTCCTGCGCCCAAGCCCGAGAAAATGCGAACCTGGCCCTGCAGGATCCTGCAAGATCCGGCGCTCTGGCTGACCCCCGCGTCCAACCCGGACATAGCGTAAAACCTGCAGTCGTGATTTTTGCCAGCGCGCGAGGAGGTCTGGGCACGGTCTGGGCACCGAGTATCGTTTAGCCGATCCCCATCCCCAGCAGCGTGGCCTGAGCCCCACTGGCCGATTTACCCCCCTAGATGGGGATGTAGGTCATTCCCTGCGGGTTTCGAGGGGTCTATATCCCCAACTGGGGAGGTAAATTGGTGGGGGTCTCGAAGGGGATGGGGATGGGGATGGAGATTGGTTAAACGATACCGAGGCATTCCCTGACCAGGGGGGTGCGGAGGAAGAGGGGGGGAGGGGGAGGGGGAGGAGGAGATGGAGGAGGAGGAAGGAGGGAGGAGGAGGGAGGGAAGGAAGGAAGGAGGGAGGGAGGGAGGGAGGGAGGAGGAGGAGGAGGAGGAGGAGGAGGAGGAGGAGGAGGAGGAGGAGGAGCGAGGAGGAGGAGGAGGAGGAGGAGGAGGAGGATGAGGAGGAGGAGGAGAAGGAGAAGGAGGAGAACGGGTCGCCCAGGGGAACGAAAGGGGGGGATAGCAAATGGTAGGGTAGAGAATCAGCTCACGTAGCTGATCTTCCCAGCGCCTCCTGGCGACGGGAGGCGCCCACGCATCGAGGACTGGGCTCGGCGGCGGGGCCGACACCAGCTGCACGCAGCAGACTTCGTGACCGCCCCCCCCTTGCCCCCTCCCCCTCCCCACCCTTTCGGTCCGGCCCGAGGGAGGCCCTCCAGGTCTGGCCACGGCCTGGGCACTCCCTGACGCGGCGGGGCCGACACCAGCTGCACGCAGCAGATTTCGTGACCCCCCCCTGCCCCATCCCCCTCCCCCTTTCGGTCCGGCCCGTGAGAGGGCCCTCCAGGCCTGGCCACGGCCTGGGCAATCCCTTCGGCTATACGCAAGAGTGACCCTGGGTAAAAGTGACCTTTGGTGCGCGGCTTTTCGGGGGCCGCGGGGGGCCAAACCTGGTCGCGCAACCAGCTGCTACTGCTTCGTTTCAGCTATCTGGGGACTCATCTGTGCCCGCACCAGTCGGGAGCGGCCAAGAAGGGGTTTGTCCAAGAGGGGGGGGTGCAAATCATGAGCGGCGGCATGTGCGCGGCCCAGCGGGGGGTCCAGGGACGTAATGAAATAAGAAGATGCGCCGTGAGATCTGGGGAAAAATCATGGCCCCCGCCATGATATCCACCCCCCCCCTAGTCATCACCCCCCTCTTTTCCGCCCCCAAACCAGAGGT